TGGTGAGCCCTATCTCAAGTGCATCATTATATTGGATCCGTGCATTCGGTCTTAAAGGGGCAGCAGCCTATAAATACCTGCTGTTCCATAAGCGCCACCCGCTGTCAGAGAGTGACATTTGCGTCTCATTCACAAATCTAAAATCAAACCATTCTGTTTTTGCTTCAAATTTCGAAATTATACAATCTAATTGCAATCTAAATAACATGTATTTAGCATCTTTGTTTGGATCGTGATTAAAATGCAGTGGTTGCCTCTGATTTTAAATGGAAAAAGCACAGCCAATAATAAAAATAATAAAAGGACACCTTTTCATTTATAATTTGTCTTAAATCTCATTTTGTTAAAAAGAAAATTTGATTTGGGATTTGTTTAAAAATTTCAAGTTAGTTTTATTATTTGACATATTTCAATTTCACAAAGAAATGTGCAGAATTTTGTTGGAGAAATAATAAAAGGACACCTTTTCATTTATCATTTGACTGAAATCTCATTTTGTTAAAAAGAAAAATTGTGAGAAAATTGTATTGTGAAATCAGCATCGTGAATCGTATCACATCGCATCGTGAGTTGAGTGAATCGTTACATCCCTATATGCTACTAGTTTTTGCTGTGGTACCAGCGATTTTGAAATTTTGCGAGCCCCGAAGGGGCATAATATATCTCCTTTAAATTAATAAATGTTTATTTTATCAATATTTTTATATTAAAATTAAATATTTGCATATTAAAAAATATATTTTAATAAAATAAAATAAAATAATTTTATTTTAATTATTCTATAAAATCAAATCAAATCAAAATAAAACAGCAAAAAATAAAATAAAATAAAATACCAGCTAACATCCTTAGGTTTTTTTTTTATCCAGCAGGGAAGCAAGCTGAAGCTCCTGACCAGACGTTCCCTGCAGACGGATACAGATTGTCCCTTTAGGCTCATTAACACTTACACTGGCATTTCTAAAGCTGCTTCAGACGTTAAGCGGGACCTTTAAGAGAGCGCAGAGGCAAAGGGGACTGTAATGACTGATCACATTAATGCTTTACCTCAGTCTCTCTCTCTATTTCTGCCATATAACATTCAGATCGAACAACACTCTCAATATCACAGGAATAGTTCATCCAGAAAAATCTAAGTTACCAACCCTTGCTCTTTTCCATGCAACAACCGTTCATAGTGATCATTTCAAAACAAATACACCATAAAATCATCCTCAAAATAGTCAATAGTCCATATTTGACCGAAAGTTGGGAGTTTTAGAGTGTATAACTAAGAAACTCAAAGTAAAAGAGGTGTATATGTGTTTCACAGAAGTACTGTAAGCAATATAGAAAGTCACCCAGGGCCAGAACGGCAAGAGAGCGAGTAAATGACGACAGAACTCGCATTAGAGACCGATCGGTTCGGGAAACAGGACTGAAGATTCAAAGATAAACCTCAGGCTGGAGTAATGCTGACTAAAAGCATCACAAACACGAGATCCGGCGGCTGTGAGGCACAGGACAGGAGACGGGATGCCAAAATACTCTGAACACTATCTATGGAAGAAACGTCGAGGCCTGATTTCCATCCTGGTACTCACCACATACTCGAAGACCAGCATCAGGGTTTCCTTGGTGTGAATGATGTCGTGGAGCAGCACGATGTTGGTGTGTTTCAGGCCTTTCAGCAGAGACGCTGCACACAAACACAAACTCATTAACTGCTTTTACTCTTATATATGATTTATTTGTGCATTTTAAAATCTGATATTGCAGAGGCAGATGTCCATCCTGTCCAGCCTGATGTGCATATAGTGACTTTAACGAATAATAACTAATAACTTGTACCAAGACCTGAGCAGAACTTTTACAGAATTTGTATTAACCTTTTATTATTATTAATTCAATTCAAGTTTATTTGTATAGCGCTTTTTACGATACAAATCGCTGCAAAGCAACTTTACAGAAAATTAAGTTTCTACAATATTTAGTTATATACAATATTTGTATTATTATTAATACAATTGTTTTATTTTTAGAATTATTATCATTTTTATATAAATACATTAGAAATAATAAAAAACAAATAATTATAAATAATAATAATAATAAATAAGAAACAAAAGTATAGTAAAAAGTAAATAATCAAAAATGAATAATAAACTAAAGTAAAATAAAATGCAATAAGTATTAAATAAAATCATTATTTTTTAATAAAATCATTATTTTTAAAATAATTATAAAATCAAATAAAATTAGTAATATTTTTTTTAATAATTATAAAATAAAATTAATAATAATAACAATAATAATAATACAATTATTTTATTTTTTGAATTATTATTATAATTTTAATATAAATACATTATAAATAATAAAAACAAACAATTATCAATAATAAGAAATAATAAACTAAAAGTAAAGTAAAAAAGTAAATAATCAAAAATGTATAATCAACTAAAGTAAAATAAAATGCAATAAGTTTTAAATAAAATTTTTTTAAAAATTCAAATAATTATAATAACAATAAATACAATTATTATATTTTTAGAATTATTATTATAATTTTAATATAAATACATTATAAACAATAAGAAATAATAAACTAAAAGTAAAGTAAAAAAGTAAATAATCAAAAATGTATAATCAACTAAAGTAAAATAAAATGCAATAAGTTTTAAATAAAATTTTTTTAAAAATTCAAATAATTATAAAATTAAATTAACAATAATAACAATAATACAATTATTTTATTTTTTTAATTATTATTATAATTTTAATATAAATACTTTATAAATAATAAAAGCATTTTTTGATCAATAATAAGAAATAAGAAACTAAAAGTAAAGTAAAAAAGTAAATAATCAAACATGTATAATCCACTAAAGTAAATGCGATAAGTTTTAAATAAAAATTTAATATTTTTTAAATAATTATAAAATAAAATACAATTATTAATAAAAAAATTCTAATAATTATAAAATAATAATAATAACAACAATAATGTATTTAAATCCTCATCTTCCATAAATAACTCAAGCACCATAAAGTCTCATAACATATCAAATGTGTCAAAGGCCAAGCTTCAAACGAAAGAGCAAGAAATAAAGAAACAGGAATGTTTAAAGACCGACAGTAAATAAACAGGCTGATCAGGACAGAATGACTCTTATGAGAATCTCATATTTCTCTGTGAGAAACAACGCAATTAAAGCTAATCGTCAATCCTCCGCAGCAAAGCGTTCGTTTAAACTGACATTTCATAATGTGTCTGGTGTGTTTTTCTACTATGCAGCTGAACTGTACAACACAGAAATCTCATCTCTTTTGAGCAGAAAAACACTTCATTTACTACAAAGACGGAGCGACACACTTCAAGCGCGTTTCGTGATGAATAGAAACGAGGGACTCAATCCTGCTGTCAAATACAGTTGTGTTACAAACAAAATGTTAATTATTTTACCAAAACAAGAGGGATCATACAAAGTTTTCACCTCCTGGCTCTCAATGCATCGTCATCAAAGCGTATGTGAAATTTTGACCACCACTGTGTAGCATTTAGCAAAATACTGAATAAATAATAAACGACATTTAATAACATCACTTTATACTGTACTGAGTACAGTGACATTGACTGTCATCCATTTCACTTTCCATCCTGTTATTAAATAAGAAACCAATTAAAATAAAATGTAAACTCTCAAAAAATATACAGTAAACTATAAAGTAAAATAAAATGTAATAAAGTATTAAGTAAAATAATTATTGTAATATTTTATTTATTAATAATTTATAACATTAATAATTTATTTGTTAACAATTATTATTTATTATTTTAATAAAATAAAGTAATTAAAACAAAAAATGTAAATAAAATAATAATAACATTTATTTGTTCATTTCTTTCTTAATTATTATTTAATTAATTAAAAAAATTAAAAATAAATTAATAAATAATAAAAAAACAAACAACATTTTTTTTTATTAAAATAAAATAAATTTAATTTAATTTAATACAATTAAATTAAATTAAATTAAATTAAATTAAATTAAATTAAATTAAATTAAATTAAAATTAAATACTTGACAGTATAAGTCACTGTGCACCTGCAGTATTTGGAAAACTGAAGCTTGGATATTTATGTTTCAGAAAAAAGCAAGACAGAAAGTCATACAGGGACAGAACGACATGATATAAAAAATAATAATGATAATAATAACCAGTATCATTAATTGATTTGATCAAAAGACACGTCAGTTAAAATGATTAAAAATAAAAAGATATGAAAAATATGAAAATGAACTTCACACTGACTGTCGATAACTCACTGAGCAATGACTAGCTTCAGCTCTTTTCTCATTTTCTCGTCAGCTCAGAAACGTTTTTATTCGAAACGTTGACTTTTTTTTAACTGATTATTTACACGGCTTTATGAAAGTCTACTGTAGCTAGAAACGCTGCCTTAAAGTCCCCATGAAATCAAAATGAAAGTTTTTTGGGTGTTAGTATCAATATGTTAGTCTTAAGGTCATCTATAAGGCAAAACAGTGACAAAATGCGCATTTAGAAGATATAAGCATTCAAAGCTTGCAGTTCGTTACTTCCGCCAAAACGTTTTTTTTGACGTCACGTCATACTTCATCTTCTCATCAAACTTTCTGTCCAATCAAATGCTCTCTAGAATCCGAAGCCCCGCCCCCTACACTATAAAATAGACGCTGCTGAAATCGGTCGCTTGTCCACAGAGTTAGTATTTTCTGTGCAGTGAATGGCACGTAGTGCACTATATAGGGGACAGGGAACGACTCAAACAGTGCAAACATGCTTCTATTGAGTCTGGTTTGGCGCTGTGTGACGCTAAGCACCGCACCGCGCACACACTCTTCTACACGATACGATAGCATGGAGCGGATCACATGCACGAGTCGCCGCAGACCACTAAATGTATCGGAGCTATTTGAATTCTACACAGAATGCTATATTTTACAGCAATATGGATGAGATTGTGGCTGGCATAACAGAGCTCAACGGCTCTGAGCGGCTCTAGCCCAAGCTGTGATATAAACGAACGCTATTGGCTATTTTAAAAAGGGTCTAGAATCCGAAGCCCCGCCCCCTACACTATAAAATAGACGCTGCTGAAATCGGTCGCTTGTCCACAGAGTTAGTATTTTCTGTTCAGTGAATGGCACGTAGTGCACTATATAGGGGACAGGGAACGACTCAAACAGTGCAAACATGCTTCTATTGAGTCTGGTTTGGCGCTGTGTGACGCTAAGCACCGCACCGCGCACACACTCTTCTACACGATACGATAGCATGGAGCGGATCACATGCACGAGTCGCCGCAGACCACTAAATGTATCGGAGCTATTTGAATTCTACACAGAATGCTATATTTTACAGCAATATGGATGAGATTGTGGCTGGCATAACGGAGCTCAACGGCTCTGAGTGGCTCTAGCCCCAGCTGTGATATAAACGAACGCTATTGGCTATTTTAAAAAGGGGCGGGGCTGCTTGATATGTCCCGCCCTGTCTTCCTGTTTCAGTTACAATGACGTCAACACACAGAGTAACGCTGCGTGTTTCTAAGCATCTCAGAGGACCTTTAAAGTTCAACACGAGCACGTCGACCTTTCGTTTGCTCAACACAGTTCCATATGAGTAGCATGTTGTTTATGATCTGATCTGAACACATGCAATGTATCCTTCGATTTAGTTAAAATCCTGTCTATGTAGTCAGCTCACTAGGTGTGTGCACAGAGCGATTCGACGTTTCTCTCTCCTTCCACTCGCGTTCTGCCTTCAGCTTTAGTTTCTCTGTTATATGAAGGCCACAGTAAAACACACCTATTAAAACAAGCGTGCAGAGATGGAGAGACGGGTCGACTCACCCTCTCTAATCGCAGTGAACGGCGTTCCCTCCTCCTCCTGCAGACGAATCACTTTCAACGCAACCAGCTTCCCGTTCACCCTGCAAACACATGTTCATCTGTATCATAGGACTGATCCACAGAATGTGTGCATTGTGTTTACGTTCCTGGAGGTCGAACAGCAACTCTTGACACCATGGGTTCGATTCCCGGGAAATGCATGAACTGATAAACTGTATACTTTGAAATCCAATGCAAGTCGCTTCGGATAAAAGTGTCTGCCAAATGCACAAAAAAATATATAAAATGTATTTTAAAAATAAATATTTTAAATACACAAATATAATAATATTGCAGAGTGAAACCGTATATATTCAGGGATCCAAAATATACATAATATTATTTATATATTTAATTGTAATATATATTATATTATATTAATATAATGTTTCACTCTGAAATATTATTTATTTATTTGTGCATTGAAATAATTTGTATACATTTTTATAGATTTTTGTGCATTTGGCAGAAAGGCAACTTCAATAAATAAATAAATAATAAAATAAAATCTATCTATCCAATTTATTTATTTATTTATATTTATTAATTATATTAATTATATTTAATTTGACAATGCAATAATTTGCTGTAAAGAAATTATTTCATTTGCATTTAGTTTTTAAAATGCAAAAAGATTTATTTCAAATATTGAATCAAATTAAAACAGACAACACAGAATTTTGAAAAAAAAAATAAAAATATATATATATATATATATATAGTGTGGCAATAAATTAAATTATCACTCATTATTTTACATTTTAATAATGTAAAATAAAATAATAATAACATGTATTTGTTAATTTTTCTTTCTTAATTATAAAATAAAATAAAATACTTGCCCGTATAAATCCCTGTGCATTTGCAGTATTTGGAAAACTGAAGCTTGGATATTCTCCTTTTATGTAAAAAAAATTAAATAAAAAAATTCTGGTTTAATGCTTTAATTAAATAAATCAATAAATATATTGATTTATTTAATTAAAGCATTAAAGCAGAATCCAGAAATATTACTGAAACAGAATTTGGGGAAGCGTCAAACGTATGGCCCTGTATGCAGTATGATTTTATCCAGTTGTTTTTAAATAAAAGGCACTGATGGTTTGTGTTTGATTTACTTTCATTTACTGCAATTTCGAGGCAGTGGAGTGAATCTGAACACGGAGCTCATAATGAACTTACACACAAATAGCATCATTACTATGAAAAACACGGACAATAACGCGCGATTCATTTCACGCTGGCTGAAATGTTATTTTCCAGATTTTCATTTATGACGGAGAAACGGGTGTTAAGCTCCCGTCGGAAAGGCTTTCATGCGACGCGTCATTTCAGGCTCTGGCTTTTATTACAGCAATATAAAAATAATTTCATTCAGATTTCACATAATAATAATGATCTGCTGCCTCTTTGCTTACAGTTCCGTTACCAAACGAGTCAAAGAACCCAGAGAAATACAGCAGGGTTTCAGTAGAGTTTAAGACCTGCACAAATAAAATTAACACCGCATGCAACCACAGAAAAAGCCCATGCAATCTAGAAATAAATGAGGTATCAAATTATTTGACTTAATTAAACAGGCTGCATCAAGTTTAACTCAAGACATGCTTATTTAATATTTACATATGTATTGAAATTGATTTACCGTGTAATGTTTTCATATTTCACTACACATGAAGAAGAGGTCCAACGATATTGGATTTTGCTCAAACAATAATGTGTTTAAATAAAAGGAAATGTAAAAGATTATTGTGCTGATCCTAATAAAATCTCTACTGAACGTGTTAAATAATGTTCTTAGTCTTTCTTTCCTGTGATGGGGCGGTTCAGAGAGAAAATACAAGAGTTTATTGATTTAAATGCCAGATACTGTTTACTGTGCAACTTAAATACCAATAATAGCCAGGGGGGGGAAATTATATATATACACATTTATGCATAATGAGGGGCTTTTAATCATAAACAAGCCTGAAATTCACAAGGACTCTTATTTTGAAATGTATATGCTTTACTACTTCCAACTGCTCATTCAAAAAGATGAGAGAAATATTGGAACCCAATTATTAATAATAAATAATAATAATAATACAATTTAAACAGAAAAAGGGATGTTTAATCATTAACATGCATTAAATACACCTGGACTCTTATTTTGAAATGGCCATGGTTTACAACTTCAGCTGCTCATTCGAAAAGATGAGAGAAATATGAGAACCAAAAATATCCAGGAAAAAATGACTTGCAATCATAAACAAGCCTGAAATACACCGGGACTCTTATTTTGAAATGTCTATGCTTTACTACTTCCAGCTGCTCAATCAAAAATTTGAGAGACATAAAATATGCATGCATACATATAATATAAAAACCCTAACGTAAACATTGTCGATTCATCAAAGGTGCATCATAAGCAATCGTTAAATGTGTGGCATTCACAAATAGAGACACACTGGATAAAATCACAGTGCATTAACAGCCGTATGAAATCTGTTCGACTTTTCTGTTCCAATAATATTTCTGGATTCTGGTTTAACGGTTTAATTAAATGGCAATAATCAAAATTTATAGGGCCATATGAAATTTTTCAAAAAAAATTCTAAATTCTATTTTTTTTTTTTTCAAATGTGGTGTTTTCTGGATTCTGTGTTTTATGATTTCATAAATAAATGAATTTGATCATTTGTAATGCCCCGCAGGAACTCACTTGCTCTTCCCTTTGTAGACGGTGGCGTAGGATCCCTCGCCGAGCTTCTCCAGCTTCTCGTACGAATCTGCCTTTCCGAACTTTGGGCTCGTGGGCTGAGAGAGAGAGAGAGCGAGAGAGAGGGAGAGAGAGAGAGAGAGAGAGAGAGAGAGAGAGAGAGAGAGAGAGAGAGAGAGAGAGAGAGAGAGAGAGAGAGAGAGAGAGAGAGAGGGAGAGA